TTTTTTTTTTTTAATACCTATGAATCCAGTTAGTGTGGCCTGCATGTGCATGGATGTGGGGCCACCCACAGCCATGTCTGCTTAAAAAAAAATGTACCTAGTGTTTTCTGTAATTAATGAATACTGTGGATGATTTGCTAATTTTCCAGGCACAAAGATTGCACTTTTACCTGAGTTTCAAGAAAGAATATGTTCAGTGTTGTTTGAAACTGGCTCATGTCTCTTTCGTGATTCCATGGAGTTGGGGAACGGAAGACATTGGCAGTTCCCAGCCAGGCAGAGCTGTGCCAAGAAGTGGCATTCTTGGGCCAGGGCGTACACATACAGCTAAAGTTGAATTTCTTTCCTCAGGTACGATGTGGAACTGTTCCAGCGCATAGAGCACTTGATTGGAAAGAAACTGCCTGTCTTCCCAACACAGGATGACGAGGTTATGATGCTCACAGAGCGTGTGACTGAAGCCCAGAGATTCGCCCGAATGGTGCGCAGCCTCTGTATTCAGCAGCCTCATGCAAATGACCTTACCTCTGTGTCAGGCACTTGGCTATAGTAAACTACAGGAGCTGGGTGTAATTTTATTCTAGATTTGAGATGGGCAAACTAAGGTGCAGGCATGGTGGGTAAAGTCACTTTAGGCCATGTAATTGCATGGTTGAATCTGGGGTTGTGTAGTTTGACCAGGGTGACCATATTTTTCACCACTGTTCTTCTGTCATGTGGCAAAAACTCCATCAGACTTGAGGTTGGAAGGCTTGGCTAGCTGTCTATGGAGTTGGCTTGGGCATTTTGCCTAATCTCTCAGAAGCAGTTCCTCACCTGTGGTTTGGGAGTAATATTTGCCTTGAATACCTTCAGTGTATTGTGAGCACCAGATAAGTTACACTCTGTGTCTGCTAGTAGTGGTAGTAATAGTGCTGGTGATGAGAAGATTCTAGAGGAAACACTTGGAAGTGCTATCTGCTTCCTGGCGTTCTAGTTTGATGGATGGAGAAACTTTGACCTTGTTTTCTGAATAACAGAAGTACAGACTTGTTTTACTTTTCTGCCCACATGAAATTTTTTGATATTTTTGTTTATGGAAGGGTTGGAGGGGCGGTAAACCTTGCCTGAGGAATGACACCCAGGGTTATCCTTTGACCTCCACAGGCACACACACAATGTACACACAAACAGTGTATATATATATATATATATACACACACACACACACACACACACACACACACGCACACACGCACACACATGCTGTCTGTAGTTAAGTATAGTGGTAATTGCTTGTAATCCTTACACTTACTTGAAAGGCTGAGGCAGGAGGAGTCATCAAGTGTTTAAGGCCAGCCTGGGCTAAATGCAGAGACTCAAAAAAAGGTGGGTGGGGGGCTATCTGCATTGGGAAAAGCACACAGAAAAGGTTAAAGTAGCAATGAAAGGTGAGCCAGGCATCGTTAGAACCCCTGGTCCATCCAGCTAATCATTCCCCCTCGTTCTGCCTGTCCCCATGGAATCTTTCTTTTTTTTCTTTTCGGTCTTTTTGAGACCGGGTCTCCCTGTAGCTCCTGCTGGCCTGGAACTCACTGTGTAGACCAGGCTGACCTTGATTTCATAGATTCTCCTGCCTCTGCCTCCAATTAAAGCCCTTGTTTTTGTTTTTGTTTTTGTTTTTGTTTTTGTCTTTTTGAGACAGGGTCTCCTTGTAGCCCCAGCTGTCCTGGAACTCACTGTGTAGACCAGGCTGGCCCTGAACTCAAAGATCCACCTGCCTTGGCCTCCCAAGTGCTGGGATTAAAGGCATGTGCCACCATGCCCAGCCCAGCCCTTGTTTTTTTGACATGGTCTTGCTCTGTAGCTCAGGCTGGACTTGCACTCACTATGTACCTCAGGCTGCCCTGGCACTCTTGTTGATCCTCTTGCCTCAGGCTCCCAAGTGCTGGGATTACAGCTGTGCCTCAGTGGTACAAGGAATTCCTCATGTGTATGTAACATGGTTTTTACATTGATGGACATTTATGTTCTTTCCTAATTTCTATTTTAACTTGAACTATGTTGAATAACCTGGAATGTGTACCTTTATTTAAAGTTAAGTTTCTAGAGGTGGAATTCTTGGACCAAGGAACACACATATAGTTAAAGTTGAATGAAGACAAAATGTCAAATTGTCTCTGTAGAAAAGCTACAGCAGGCTGTATGATCAGTGACGATCAATTCTAGGATGACCTATCTCTTAAGTCTATGACAATCTTGTTTTAGTTTTCATGCTTTGGGTCACTGTGATAATGTCAACATTTTTGCCTGTTTGGAGTTGATTCTTACTCCTTTGCTGGTAATCTTGATCTGGAGGAGGGCCTAACGTGTGCCACGAGCTCACCTTCACTCACGTCCTCTGCTCTCACAGGAGTTGAGGGAACATGGAGAAAAGAAGAAACGGAAGCGAGAGGATGCCGGAGATAATGATGACACAGAGGGAGCCATTGGTGTCAGGAACAAGGTGGCTGGAGGGAAGATGAAGAAACGGAAAGGCCGTTAGCCCATAAGAAAGACAGCTCTGCTTCCTAGCTGTACAGAGATACAGTGAAACCCCTCCAACAGAGTCCTGAGACTGGATTCTGTCCCGACACTGCTCGGTGGCTGCCTGCTGGTTCCTGTCTGCAGGTTGGAGTGTCACTGTTATAGGACAACTTCCCAGAGCTGTGGCCAGGACAGCTGCTCTTCAGCTTGTGTTCCTCACCCTCGGCGTGAGTGGCGTGTGCGCGTCCCTCCTTACTCGCAGGTCAAGGACTTGGTTGATGAAGCAGACTGTTTAGTTCATTGTAAAGAAGCTTCTACAGACTGGCATTTGAATCATCCTGGCTCCTGCTTCATTAAGCCTGAGGTGAAACAATAAATTTCAATGTTGTTTTTAAATGATTCACTCTTTTAACACTCTTGGTGTTAAAGACATTTGGAGAGCTTGCTAATAGGTGCCTGCCCTTGTGGTTACATGGCAGATTCATTGGTTGTCCTTGAATTAAGGTCAACATTATTTGTGACAGAAAAAAGAACAAGAGCACCCACATGGCAGCTAACAACTGTCTGTAACTCCAGTTGCAGGGGATCCAACAGCCTCTTCTGTCCTCCTCGGGCATTGTACGACACAGGTGCACTTACTTATATGCAGGCATAACACGCATACACATAAAAATAATAAAATATTTTTAAAATTAAAAATTTTTTTTTTTTTCGTCTTTTTGAGACAGGGTCTCCCTGTAGCCCCAGCTATCCTGGAACTCACTATGTAGACCAGGCTGGCCTTGAACTCACAGAGATCCGACTGCCTCTGCCTCCGGAGTGCTGGGATTACAGGCATGTTTTTTAAAAAAAAGTGTATCCAGAATGACAGATCTGGGGCAGAGAGATGCCAGAGAACCACTGTGATGGGTAAAGATTGAGAATGAAATTCTCAATTCTGTGTGCACGTCCCTCCTTACTTCAGGTCAAGGACTTGGTTGATGAAGCAGACTGTTTAGTTTATTGTAAAGAAGCTTCTACAGACTGGCATTTTCCATGTACGACCTAAAGGAAAGCACATGCTCCAAAGATTGTATTTCTCAGAGAAAAATACAAGGAAGATGCATTGCCTGTGGTAGTCCAGGACTGTTCACTGTTGATTGCAGTAGAGATGTTGTGTGTCTCTGTGTGGTATATGCACCACGTATGTGCAGACACACAGAACCCAGAAGAAGATGTCAGGTATCCTGCTCTATCACTCCCTGCCAGGCTCCCTTGAGGCAGGGTCTCACTGAACCTGGAGGAAGGCTGGACCAGCAAGCCCCAGCGATCCTCCTGTCTCCACCCCCACAGGGCTGGGGTTGGCATGCACATTACCACATCCAACTTTTTACATGGGTGGTGGGGATTTGAACTCAGTCTCTTGTGCTTGAGCAGCAAGTACTCTTGCCTACTGAGCCATCTCCCCCTTTGATGTGTTCATGTGTGTACACATGCATGTGTAGGCCAGCCTCCAGTGTCACCTCAGGAGCACCATCCACCTCCTTTGAGACTGTCTCTCATTGGTCTGGAGCACACTGATTAAACTAGGCTGGCTGGGCAGGCCTCAGGGGTGCTCCTCTCTCCACCTCAGCGCTGGGGTTGCGAGCACATGCCTGCCACCCCTGGCTTTGTGGTTTCTGGGGGTCAAACTCAGATTCTCATATTTGTGGGTTTAAAAAAAATTTTTATGTGTATGAGTATTGCCTGCATGTATGTAAGTGCACCTGTGTCATGCAGTGCCCAAGGAGGTCAGAAGAAGGCATCGGATCCTCTGGAACTGGAGTTACGGATGGTAGTTAGCTACCATGTGGGTGGGTCCTGGGAATTGAACCCAGGTCTTTTGCAAGAGCAGTCAGTGCTCTTAACCACTGAGCCATCTCCAGCCCAGGTTCTCATATTTTTTTAAATAATATTTTTACTTATTTTTATTTTAGGTGTATGAGTGTATTGCCTGCATGTGTGTATAAGTACATGGTGTCGTGCAATACCCGAGGAGGTCAGAAGAAGTCATCTGGAGTTACAGATAGATAACTGTTAGCCCCCACAGCCTGGGATGGTGCTGCTTTATACCACAGTGTATCCTGGGAGCGGTGTCTGTGGCCAAGGCATTTGTAGTGAGCTGAAACAAGCCTGGGATGGTGCTGCTTTATACCACAGTGTATCCTGGGAGCGGTGTCTATGGCCAAGGCATTTGTAGTGAGCTGAAACAACCACATGGCCTTTGTTTAATTTGCTCTGAATTTTTTACCCTCCCCTGCCTTTTAAATCCATTTTAGCCAGGGTTTCCTGTACCCCAAGCTGGCCTCTAGCTTTCTGTGTAGCTGAGGATGGCCTTGAAGTCCTGATCCTCCTACCTTCTCCTGAGTGCTGGGATTCTAGATGTATGTCACCATGCCTAGTTTATGTTGTGGTGCTAAGGACCAAATTCAGGGCTTTGTGCATGCCAGGCAAGGACTCTACCAAAGAGTAGGGATTGGGGGGTGGTAAGAGGCAAATAAATGAGAGGGGCCATGTTTGGGACTAGTTAGGAGTCGGGCCTGCCTGTTGGAGCTAATTCTAACTACATTTCTACATTTCCCTGATGAGATTCCCCAGAGTGACTGGTAGCAACTTCATCTTGCATCAATGGATGGTTGATGGTTGGGGGTTTTAACTCAGTGGAGGAATTCAGAAACAAAATTGAGTTGGGGTGTAACATTGGGGGGGGTGGTAAACAGTTTGAAATTATTCCTGCGTAATGCTGCACTTTCTTACCAGACAGTGGTCTCTAAACCTAATTCCATGGCACTAAAGAATATGCCTATTTTTGGAGAGACTAGAAAAGTTAAAAACTGCTCAAAGATAGAGAGTGATTAAGACCCCAGGTACTGGCCCTTGGCCTCTGGCCTTCATATGCACACATAAGCACACACATATACACACCACATGTAAATACACATAACCTGTTGCTCTAGGGCCAAAGGTATAGCTCAGTGGTAGAGCACTTGCCTAAGCACATATGAGGCCCTGGGTTCCATTCCCAGCACCTGGGGTAAAAAACAAAACAGCAACAACAAAAAAACCCTAAGCAAACAGAACGTTGTTTTGAAACTTCACTAGTTACTGTCTAGAGACATGATTATGCTTTACCTGGACTGGAAGGAGAAGATAAAACACTAATGAAAGAAATTCAGACCACCTGCCTTAGGCTTGTTAAAATGTTCAGAATATAACATAAACTAAGACCCCAGACAGGAAAAGCAGCACAGTGAAGGGCAAGAGGTACAGAAATAAGTGAGATCTGAAACAAGACTGAGCTGGGCCAGGTGTGGTGGCGCACACCTTTAATCCCAGCACTTGGGAGGCAGAGGCAGGTGAATCTCTGAGTTCAAGACTTGCCTGGTCTACATAGTGAGTTTCAGGCCAGCTGGAGCAACAGAGACCCTGTCTCATAAAAAAAAAAAAAAAAAGCTGAGGGTAACACCACTGTCAGAGCCCTGCCCATGTTGTCCCCTCCTCTGAGGCAGCATTGTAGGCCCGAATGCTGAAACCCTGCCTGGGGGTAGGCATTAAATTTCTAGGGTACTAAAGCAACCACCAATCAGGTTTAAAGCTGGAGGCTGCCTGGAGATGGAGCTCAGTTGGTGCAGTGCTTACCAGCTGTGCATGAAAGGCTGGGTTTGATTCCCAGCACCAGATAACCAAGTACACTGGTGCACACCTGTAATCCCAGCACTGGGAGATAGAGGCAGGAGGATCAGGAGTTAAAGGTCATCCTTGGGTACATAGCAAGTTAGAGGCCAGCCTGGGATCCTGTCTCCAAAAAAAAAAAAAAAGTGAAACTAATTTTCTCATAGGAATTCTAGATCTGAAGCAGGGCTATGCTGGAGAAGCTTCTAGTGGGGGCTAGATGTGTTTGGGGGTTCCTTCCTTCCAATTTCTGCCTCGCCCCCCACCAAGTGACTTTGTGTCTACATAACCTTCTTTTGGTAATTGTTTGAGATAGGGTCTTACTCCATTGCCTGCGCTGGTCTTGAACTCACTGACTCAGGCAACCTTCCTGCCTCAGCCTCCCAATATCTGTGACTCTGGTAATGGGTGACCACGTCTGGCTTCACATGGCCTCCTTTTCTTTTTTCTTTTTGTTTTGCTTGTATGTTTTTTTTTTTTTGAGGCAGGGTCTCATGTAGTCCAGGCTGGCCTTGAACTCCCTAGGTAGCTGAGGATAACTTTGCACTCCTAATCCTCCTGTCTCCATCTCCCAAATGCTGGGATTATAGGTATGCACTACCACACCTGGCTTCACGGCCTTCTTAGAAGGTACTAGTCATTGAATTCAGCCTATTCTGATTTGACCTTTAACAATATCTTCACAAACCCCATTTCCAAATAAGGTCACCTGAGGTTCTGAGTAGACATGAATTTTGGAGGAACACTAAACCACTATAAGGAATGTGGACTCTGGTACATTCTTGGGGTTTAAGACCTGATCATGGAACAGGAAAGGTGGGTAGAATTGGCTCCAAAGACAGTGGAGACAGGAAATAGGACTTCAGAAGAAATCAGAAGTAGAAGACACAAGAATAACACGATCTCCCATAAAATGGACATTTTCTTTCCAGTCAGGGACCAAAGGATCCCTAATAATTCCTTAGTTTTGCATTTCTGATTTAAGAAACTGACCTGTGGGCTGGAGAGATGGCTCAGTGGTTAAGAGCAACAGCTGCTCTTGCAGAAGACACAGCTTTGATTCCTAGCACCCACATGGCTGCTAACAACCATCTGTAACTCCAGTTCCAGGAGAATCCGACACTGCCTTTTGATTCTGTGGGCACTGCCTGACACAGGTGCACTTACACACATGTAGGCAGTAGACTCATACACATAAAATAAAAATAATATTAAAAAAAGAAACAGCTGCAAAGTAACCTCCCCCACTCTGTGAAAAAATACATCTTTTATAACTTATAAAAGGGATTATTTTCCAATAGTACGTAATGCCACCCCAGAAAAAAATTTTCCTCTGATTTCTCAACTGAATCATAAAGCAAATTTACATAGTATTTGCTGAATGTGGTTGACCTGAAACAGTTTCATGACACCAGCTTACCTGGACTTATTTTCCCAAAAGAGCTGAGAATATCGGATAAGGAAAACATTTTCTCTTACAAGAGGGTCTCAGTGGTGGAATTTCAGTCAGGCAGACTTGAAACTGGCCCAGTGTTCCAGGGCATTCTGGTGAATTTCTAGTTGTTGCTAAGAAGGGTCTGAAACTCAACCTGATTTATATATATATATGTTATATATGTTATATCTTTCGCTGTCTTTCAAGAATACAAGAAATATCCCAGAATTTGGCTCTTCGTGGACACTTGGCTTAGGGTCAGAGAGCGTTTTAGGTAGCTTCCTGCCAGCGAGGTATCCACCACTTAAATCAGATGCCATCTACCAGGTCCCTCAAAGCCCTGGGAAATGAGACCAGAAAGAACCTCACTCAGGTTGTGGTGCTAGGGTACAGAAAGTGAAGGAATTCACTTTATCTGAAGTGGGTAAGAAAACATGAAGAAGTTATGCCCTTAAAAGAAACTAGAGAATATACAAGCATTTCTAATCCAGAGTTCTTAAAGTGAAATCTAGCCTTGGGCCAGATAATAAATTGGGTGTGAGTCACCCTCTTGGGCTGGAATGACAAGAGACTCAGACTAGGCTCTCAAAATTCAAGGGTGGCCCACACCTACATTCCTTTCTGTGCCTCACCTGTCTCAGGAATGCATTAAAACTGCAGCTAAAAATAACTGTAGAAACTTGAGGTCTGGGAAATAGCCCCAAACAGTCACACCTTGACTCTAGAGCACATTGGTGCCAGGACTCAAGACAGCAAGAGAATGGGCTCAGCTAGAGGCCATGAAATCTCCAGGGCGGGGGGGGGGGCGGGGGGCTGTTGTCTGCTGATACTGTTGGAGCTTTTGTCTGCTTGTAGCCATCTGTTCATCCGATACCTGCCAGAAAGGAAGGCCCTTCTGTCACCTGTCAGAGCCAACGAGGGGGTAGAAGGAGCAGGAAGTGTGGAGGAAGAGAGTTGGGGAAAGTGTTGGTCATGAGGCTGGTCCCCTCTGTTGCATATGACAGGTGAATTACGGAATTCTGAACCTGGAGTTTTCTAACTTGTTACTTTGGAAATAAGATTATCATCCTATCTGCCCCACAGTCATCTCTTCTTCCTTCTCCTCCTTTTCTTCCTCATCCCTCTTTTCAAAAAACATTATCAATTATTATTATTATTATTATTATTATTATTATTATTGTTTTGAGACAGGGTCTTCCTGTATCCTTAGCTGGCCTGGAACTCTATGTATACTAGGCTGGCCGTGAACTCACAGAGAACTGCCTTCCTCTGCCTCCTGAGTACTGGGATTAAAGGTGTGTGTCACCCGGCTTATAGATTATTTTTATTTTTATGTATAAGAGTGTATTACCTCAAGGCCAGCCTGGTCTACACAGTGAGTTCTAGGCCAGCTGGGGCTACAAAGAGACCCTGTCTCAAAAAGATGAAAAAAAAAAAGTGTATTGCCATCTTGTATGTAAGTGTACCCATGTCATGCAATGTCCACAGAGGTCAGAAGAGGGTGACAGATGTCAGATTCCTCTGGAACTGGAGTTACAGACATTTGTTAGCTGCCATGTGGATGCTGGGAATTGAATCTTGGTCCTCTGCAAGAGCAACCAGTGCTCTTAACTGCTGAGCCAACCTCTCCACCCCATCCCTCTTATTATTCTATTTTATTATTATTATTATTATTTTTGAAACAGTATCTTCATGTAGCCCCAGCTGTCCTGGAACTCACTATGTAGATCAGGCTGGCCTCAAACTCACAGAGATAGGCCTGCCTCTGCCTCCCGAGTGCTGAGATTAAAGGTGTGCCATCACACCCAGCTATTCTTTTTTTTTTTTTTTTTTTTTTTTTAAGTCTTTCTGTGGCAGGGTCTCCCTGTAGCCCCAACTGGCCTGGAACTCACTATGTAAAGCAGGCCGGCCTTGAACTCACAGAGATCCGCCTCCCTCTGCCTCATGAGTACTGCGACTAAAGGCATGCGCCACCATGCCCGGCTTATTCTATTTTTTAAAGACAGGGTGTCATATATCCTAGGCTGGTCTCCAACTTGCTATGTAACTGAGAATGACCTTGGACTCCTGATCCTCCTATCTCTCTTTCCCAAGTACTGGGATTATTGGCCTGTGCCTATGCCACCATGCTGGCTTTTCTTCTGTTTTGATTTTTGGATACAGAGTCTCACTATGTTGCCCTGACTGGCCTGGGATGTTCTAGTAGATTACAGGTATATTTTACCACTCTATGTAGCCGTGGCATGGTGACTCTTGCCTTTGATCCCAGCACTTGGGAGGCAGAGACCGGCAGATCTCTGAGTTCGAGGCCAGCCTGGTCTACATAGCAAGTTCCAGGCCAGCTGGGGCTACAGGGAGACCCTGTCTCAAAAAGACCAAAATAAAAAAAAAAATAAAATCTTAAAAAAAAAAAAAAAAAAAAAAGAATATCCCTATGTAGTCTAGGTGGACCTTGAACTTGGGCTTTTTCCTGCCTCAGTCTCCTGAGTTCTGGGATCCCTGGCATGTACCACCATGCCCAGCTTCCTCAGTCTTGAACCTAGTTTCTAAAATTCTGCTCAGCCTCCTCATTCCTTCTAATATCTGTCACATCCTTGTTACTATGCACAGTACTAGGAAGGTAGTGCTAAGAAAAATGTCGAAGCTGTGCTGAACTGAAGCTTAGCATTGTGGTGGTTGTGTCTGCCTACTAGCCAGGGGCTGGGCCTATCGACAGACGGAGGAGTGAGGCTGTGGACCAGGCCTTGTAGATAGACATTCAGTAAGGGTGAGGAATAAGTGGAAGGGGATTCAGGCCACAGAGCAATTTACTCTCATAGACAGCATCACTGGGGAAGATAGGAGGGGTTTGCCAGTATCCCCAGGCTGTAGAAACAGCCAAGGGACTGACTTGTCAATGGATGTTCATTTTTCCTGAAATCTATATGTTGGGAACTTTACTGACCAGTTCTTGTCATGGATTTGGGTGTCATTCTCATGAGGTGCCCACATCGTCCATTACTAGAGCTATGAGCACTTTCCAAAGTTATTCAGCCCTTTTGAGTTTTAGTCCCCTTGTGCCTTACTATGAGACCTGGAACCTTTTTGAATTTCAATCTCCTTATCTGAAGAAATACAAAATAATACCTACTTTACAGGGTTGCAGACTTTAAGTAAACTCTACTGTGGTTCACCATGATTAGTTAATATTAGAATTATCATTACTGTTATCATTGGACTAGGTTAAGTGGCTATCCCCAAGTCTATGAATGGTAACGGGTTAAGAAAAATTTGCAGCCAAATTTCATTCTAAGTTGGGCATAGTGGCAAATGCCTATAACCCAAATTCAGGTGGTAGAAGCAGGAAGATCAGGAGTTCAAGTCCAGCCTCAGCTACATAGGGATAGCCTAGGCTACACAGACCCTGTCACAAAATAAAAGGGTTGAAGGCAGTGAGAAAACCTAGTAGGTAAAGCTTTTACTGCCAAGCTTGACTACCTGATTTTACTTCCCCCGAGTCCAAATGATGGAGGGAGAGAACTGACCCTCAAACGTTGTCCTCTGACTTCCATATGAGTGCCGTCCCATATCACCAAATAAAGATGTTAAAAAAAAAATTAGCACAATGACGACCTAAATTTTTGCCATTTACCCAACTGAGGACTTCTTTGACGAAGTAATCTTAAAACTGAAGTGCCAGTAAAAAAAAAAAAAAAAAAAAAATTAGGCCAGCTGGGCATGGTGGCACATGCCTTTAGTCCCAGCTCTCAGGAGGCAGAGGCAGGCAGATCTCTGTGAGTTCAAGGCCAGCCTGGTCTATATAGCTCCAGGCCAGCTGGGGCTACAGTGAGACCCAAAAAGACCAAAAAACGGGGCTGGAGAGATGGCTGAGTGGTTAAGTACACTGCCTATTCTTGCAGAAGACTCAGGTTCAAATCCCAGTACCCACATGGCAGCTAACAACTGTCCATAACTCCAGTTCCAGGGGATCTGTCTTCCGCGGGCAATGCATGACACAGGTGCACTTCCTACATGCAGGCAATGCATGCAAACACATAAAAATAAATATTAAAATAATAATTAGGCTAAAAAACCCAAAATCCCCAAACCTAAAAAGCACCCTAAAATAAAACCAATGTAATGCCAGGTCTCTGTCTTTTATACTACATACATTGTGTGTGCATATCCTTTTGTGTGTGAGTCCACATTATTCACTTGATGAGCACTTACGGAATAAATCAGTAAACGGCAGGACAGTATTGCCTCTCTTAAATGGGCTCCACATAGCACCTGGGTATTATGCAAATAAACTTTCAGATGCCAGCTTAGTTTGAAATCCACACCAATCAGGGAAAAGAACATTTTCATTTTCACCAGAAGATGGCAGAAGGGAGAAACGCTGGCCCTCTCGGCCTCCATGAAGAAGAATTTAAGTTCCCAGCCCAGTGACTAATTGTGAGCCCTGGCTGAGGCACAGTGCAGGATTGAAGGGCACACAGGGTGCGCTGTGTGGTCCAGTGACTAAGGGGTGGTGATCAGGGTGTGGATGAGAACTACCTACAGGTCTTTGAGGGGTGTCAGCCTTCAGGAGCCCTGCCAAGGCTCGAAGTGTAGCTCTCAGTGGCAGGGTGCTCGCCTTGCGTGTGCAAGGATCTGCTATTACATTGCTATTACACAGAAGACAGGGCTGGGGAGAACTGAAGCAAACTAAAACTCAGACTTATTCGACTTCCAGGACGTGCCTGAATGCTCTCCTTTCTGTTTGAAAGTAGCTTTATTCTAAAGCCTGCCCTTCCTTCCTAGGGTGCTGAGAAAGACACCAGCCCTCTGCTCACTCCGCTTCAGTCTGTAGCCTAGGGATACTGACATTTCCCTCCTGCCTACCCCAACACGCACGGATTCTGAGAATACGTTGCTTTGTGTCTTGCAATCGTTCCATTGTATTCCCCTCTCTCACTACATGTCCATCGAGTAGGCCTGGTCTATACCCTCCTCCATCAAATAAACTTGGTGCTGGGTAGCTGGGAAATCATCCATCCATCCATCCATCCATCCATCCATCCATCCATCCATCCTTGTCTTTGGTCTCAAGTGATCGAGAATTGTCCTCAGTCAAAGAGAATAGCAGCAGTCAGGCATAGTGGTCAGAAATATTGGTCTACGGGGCTGAGGGTGGTAGAGAACGTGTTTAGCATGCATGAGGCTCTGGGTTTGCTCCCCAGCATTAAAAAGAAAAAGAGGGGTTGGGGAAATGGCTCAGTTACTAAAGTGCTTTCTGCGTAAGCAAGACCTGAGTTCAGATTCCCAGCATCCACATAAGAAGCTGGGCACAGCAGAACATGCTGTGCCTGTAATCACAGCGCTAGGGAAGTAGAGGCAGGAATCGCTGGCCAGCCAACTTGTGAACTTCAGGCAGAGAGACTTCTGCCTCAAAAAATATGGTAGTGGGTCCATGAGATGGCTCAGGAGTAAAGGTGCTTGCCACCAAGCCTCGCTTTCTGAATTTGATCCCTGGGACTCACATGGTGGAAGGAGAAAATTGACTCCCACAAATTGTCTTCTGACCTCCATGCATGCATTGGGGCATGGGTGTGGTCATGCATCTACACACAAACACACAGACACACACACACAATGTAATTTTTAAAAATTTAAAAATAAGGTAGAGAACAACTGAGGAAGACTCCTGATGTTAACTTCTTACATACATGTGTACACACATGCATGTGTAGCCCCACACAAACATGTATACACATACCCCATTTATACTCCCACACTAGAAAAGAAAAAGAAAAAGAAAGATCGGCTATCCTACCTCACAGATGTGAACTTGGCTGTTTTTTTCTTGACAATTCTTTGAAGAGGAATCCTGGTAATTCCAGCTCAATGCCAGGGTCTCAGAAACGCTCTCACCTGAGCTATTAAGCCAAGCACCACCTTCAAACCAACAGCCCCATGTGTGTTTTGGGTGGGTCAGGAGAGTACAAACCGTAACGAGGTTTCTTATTTTCTGTATTCCTTTGTACAGTTGTCAGAGTTGTTTGTTTTCAAACAAGCGATGCTGAACAGTGCTGTGGCCAATCTGCTGTGGGCCCCGATTTCTCATGGTTCTTGTGTCTATCATTTCCTTCACTGGAGGTAATGATTCATTTCTTTCTACTGCCCTTTTGTAAGAGTTATTTTTATCTTTTTAAATTTGTGTGTGTGTGTGTGTGTGTGTGTATGTGTGTGGTAATGCATGCATGCATACACACACATAAATAAATGTAATAAATTTTTTTAAAGGAAAAGGAGGAGGAGGAAAAAAAGAAACAGATTTGACATTTGGTTTCTACCATAGTATTCATGAGAAACTTCAGACAAAATCTGAATTTTAGCATTGAGTAGATGCTGGGGGGGCCTCAGCTCATCGGTTAAGAGCACTGGCTGCTCTTGCAGAGGACCTGGGTTCAGTTCCCAGTACCCACATGCAAACAACTCTCTGTAACTCCAGTTCCAGGGGATCTGATGCCCACTTCTGACCACCATGGACATTACATGACACAGGTCCATTTGCATACATGTGGGCAAAATACTCATACATATAAAATAAAAATAAATAAATAAAAACTGCCAGGCCTGGTGGTACAGGCCTTTAATCCCAGCACTTGGGACACAGAGGTAGATGAATCGCTGAGAGTTCGAGGCCAGCCTGGTCTACCTAGTGAGTTACAGGACAGCTGGGGCTACAGGGAGACCCTGTCTCAAAAAAAAAAAAAAAAAAAAAAAAAGTAAAAATTAAAAAAAAAAAAAAGATGTTGGTGATCAGCCAGAATTTGCTCATTTTCCTTAGAGGACCTTTAAAGGAATATATATATATATATATATATGTTTATGCATTTGTGTATGTTTTATGATATGCCCACAGACTCATTGCTGTTTAAAGAGAGACATTAATACAAATTACTCCTATTCCAGGAAGTTCTAGCAGAATTCTGCTTATAATATCCGCCTAAAGGTATTAAAAAAGCCGCCTTTTAAAGGCAAGTACCTTGCAGCCTGAAGTCCTTTTTGAGAAGAGTTGTGGGAAATGTTGGAGACAAGAGCGTGTTTTAAATTTCTTAATAAATGCTGATGTTTTCCTTACTGTTGTGGAGGATTATGGGAAATCACACTTTGCTCCTCCCCTCTGTGGTGTCCTCCTTTGGGGAGCTTAGATTGAGGTGTGATCACCGAGGGCCACAGTGGAGGGGCAAAAGATCTCATCAGGTCAAGTCTGGCTGAGAGGGTCATATGAAGATAAACAGCAACCCTGTCCCTCCCACCCCCAGGAAAGGGAAGTGCTAAGATTTATAGGTGCTCATAAATCTGGGGTTTATGGCACCTATAGCCAGTCATTTCCTGTCCCTCTGCCTGTCTCTCTCCACACCCCTTGGGACACTCCCTGGTCAGTGGCTTGTGGCTAGGGCTGATTTCTCTTCCCTATGGCATAGAGGAGTCATTTCAAAGGGGGCACATGAATCTGGGAGACAACAGATTACAAAGTAATCTATTGGGGCACTAAAAGAAAGTTTAAAACTTTCATTTGTATTTACTTTTTACTCATTTGGAATGTCTATGTTTTCTAATACATACAAATTATTACAATAACAATATATAGCAAATATGTAGAAACAGGGACTATGTAAAAAATGTTGAGGCTGAGGATGTAGCTTAGTGGTACAGTATTTACCTAGCATGATGAGGCTCTGAGTCCAATCCTTAGCACTGAAAAAAAGGTTATATTGACTAGGAGTGGGGTTTAGTAGCAAGGAAATCTGAGATGATAGCCCTAGGGAATTATCTCGACCAAGTCTTTATTTATTTATTGAATTATTTATTTACTTAAAGACTGGGTGTCATGTAGCCCAGACAGTCCTTGAACTCCTTCTGTTAGCTAAGGCTGGCCTTGAACTCCTGATCCTCCTGCCTCTGCCTCCCTAGTGCTGGAATTAGAGATATGTCCTGTTCTGGTTTGTTTTTCCATTGATGTGACAAAATACTCTAACCAATACCAACTTGGGGAGGAAAAGGTTTATTTGTCTTACATCTCCTGGGTCACAGTTCATCAGGGAGCACCAGGTAGGAACTCAGGGCAGGAACCTGGAGGCAGGAGCTGAAACACAGACCACAGAGGAATGCAGCTTACTGGCTTGCTCCCCTGGCCCGTGCTCGACCTGCTTTCTTATATAACATAGGCCCACCTGCCCAGGGGTGGTACCACCCACAGTGGGCTGGGCCCTCCCACATCACTCAATAACCAAGAAGATGCCCCACAGACATGGCCACAGACTGGTCCAATGGAGGCAATTCACCAAATAAGGCTCCCTCTACACTAAAGCTATCCAGCACATATACTATCATACCCAGTTGACAACTTGAGTTCCACCTTTGGATCCCGTAGTGGAAGGAAAGAACCAGTTCCCAAAAGTTGTCCTCTGACCTCCACATATGCTCATGGTATGCATGTACCTGCACACACACACACACACACACACACACTAATGTTAAGGTTTAGATAGCCCTGCCCCCTCGCCAGCAGGGCCTCATGGACCTCACAAGCCCTTGAGAAAAGGGAACCCAGTTGATAAGCACCCTGGTCTTTGAAGTCAAGAGAAGCAGACTTTTCTCCACTGTTTGGCCAACACAGCAGGCTTCCCCTTTGATCTCTAAAGAGGGCAGG